TTTCCCTACTTTGTGCTATAAAATATCGTATTTCTTTTAAGAATAAATGAAATTAACTGTTTAAATGCAGGACTGTGCTGCTTTAGGACTCTGTGATAGAAAAACAAGAGAACTGGCAAAATGGCAATAAACAGCGTTTTTATCCTCATTGGAGCTTTAGGTCGAGCAGAGCTATTTGTCCTTCGTTAAACAACAGAGAAATAAATAAAGGGACTCTAAATTAGAGGAGGCCAAGGAATTTGTAAGGCTCCACCCAGATCTCCTCAGCTACGCTTTGCTATGTCGACTTTGAGGCGTGTTGGACAATTACTGCCGCTAAATTATATGAATTTGTGGGTAATAAGATGAAAAAAAGATGCTAAACACGAGGTCTTTTTTTTTTCCGCCATCTCTTCCCAACCAAATAATCCTGCTCGAATAATGAGAGCCCCTTTTCTCTTGTTTAGAGGCAAGATCCTGTTGCCTGGAATTCAACATTTGAAGACATTTCCAGGAAAGTGCTAAACATAAGATATACCCTCTTACCCTATTTGTACACATTAATGTACGAAGCCAACGCTCACGGCAGCACCGTCATCCGCCCTCTGCTCCACGAGTAAGTGCGGTCCTTCCTTCTCCGTTAATAATGAATTCCCACGGAAGTCCGTAAGGTTTCCGTGATTGTCGTCAAAAGCTTTTCCCTCAGTTACAGCAATTTTTCTTTTCAAACTGGCAAGGGATCGAGAATTTGCGTGTTCGGCATCGGCTCGCCATGACAGCTCAAGGTCTCCATTTCCCACAGCGCCAACGTTTTTTTCTGATCTCTAAATATAGTCAATATATAAATTTTAAAGCTCATTCTCGTCATCCCTAGTGGCATTCAGCAAATACGTTCTGCCTGGTGCTGGATATACGTAGAATCGGAAAGCACGTGGTGCAAAAATACCTGGGCAAAAATTTTAAGCAGAGAAACGGAAAAAGAGGGAGAAAACAGGGGTTTTGACACAAGTCTTGAGGCAGTTGCAGGGCAAGGTAACTTATTTTGGCTAAACTGATATAGCAGTTTTTTTAAAAAAAAGGGTTTTATAGCATTTTTCTTTTAACAAAGTCATGTTTTTAGAGACGTAAGACTTTATTTGTACCTGGTCAGAAGGGGCAATGCGTGCCAAAGACTGGTTAATGCCTTAATGTTAAGGATGAAGTCTGATTTTTAAAAATGCTTGTCTTCCGCTGAAAAACACACTGAATTGTCAGCATGTAATCCCGGCCTAATTTTGACTAATCTAAGCCTTGATTCTGACAAAGTACCTGTCAAAAAAAAAAACCTGGTACAAATCAGAAAGTAATTGGGCCACTACTTAATTTTGCTGTTGCTAATATCAAGCAAAAGTGATTTTTTGGAAACTTTGGTGATCTAAATATACTAATTTTTAGTATATATGTATTTTCTATATTATATTTATATTGTATGTATTTATTTATATATATATTGTATATATTTATTTTACTAATAAAATTTTTAGTATATATGTAGGTACAGGCCAGCAAACACATAGAAACAGCAGAAATGAAAATTAAGTAATAGATGGTATTTCCCTAAAGATTTTCACATTAGGATCTTAACGCATTCTTCACAAGCTTTAATTGATACATTTGTAAATAAAATGGGATTAGTTTTTCTTTACGGTGTTTCTGAGTGCTCTCGTCACCTGATGGTGTTCAGTAATTGGCAGAGAGTTTTGTTTCTGAGCATCTAACCGTGGCTTTAGTTCTTCTGCTTCATCTAATATGGGATGATAATGGGATTTCATTTCTGATAACTCATTCTCTGCT